TCCATGCACGTAAAGCCTCTTGAAGAACTATATACTGTGGATTGCTTGTCCCTGTGGAATGCATGCCTTCCATCTATATTTGGACCAAAGACAAAAAAAAACACATTAATCTCGAAGGAAGGAAATAAATTGTTTTCGTGAGATTATCCAAAAATCAAGAATTTCATTTCAATAGTGTTCTCAGAAGGAGATGAATCCAAACTCACGTAAGTTAACACATCTTCAATGGCAGAAACACAGGCTTTCAGCAAAGAACCTGGCTTGCATTCCCTAAATGTCAGGGTAAAAGCCTGCAAGTGTCACAAATCTTGCAACATTAAAACCTCTATATGAAAGAAAAAACATCATAAATAAAACATGGCACAAGATGACACAACCAAAAAATAAACTCTTTCAATTTCTATTCTAGTTTCAGTAGTTAGTATATTTTCCCTTACAATAACAAAAAATAAAGTCATACTAGTTTATTGTTTTCAAGAATTAGCAAGGCAACTGATGATAAAATCTTGCTTTCACCATGTTTTTCGCAATCTCTAGAATCAGACAGAGAACAATTACAAACAGAATTTTGTAATTATTGTGGGAAACCAAATGCCAGAAAATATTACAAGGTCAATATTCAAAATTAATGGCATCCATGTTCTAACAAAAATGAACTAGAATTCATTCAACAAGTCAGACCTGAAGAAGGCGTGATGTCCAATCGCCTACCCCACGTGAAACAATTTTTGGAATAAATGGAAGGAGTAGAACTAAATGCTCTTCTTCCCAGACAGCCTTAGCAGACTGCGTAGTCCAGAAGAACTGTATAATAAAATTCCAGCCCAATTCAGCTATAGAATGACCACAATTTTCAACTTAATAAAACTTCAAAAGGATAATGTTAGCATATCTATCAAACCTTCCCAAGCAGAGCATTTTCAAAAAATTCAAGAAATCTCTCCAACAAATGTGGAGGAAGACACATCCATTCATTTAATTCAAAAAATATTTTGGTAATGACCATGTTCAAGTCAAGCAACCTACCACAGTCCTGCAATGAAAAAAAGAAAAAAATTAGTTTTTATGAAATTAGAGGAATATCACAATCCTGCTGCTCCCTACTCCACCTCACAAATGGAACCAGATCACAATAACACAACAGAAAAAGGGTAATCAATCACAGGACATTGACAGGGGTAAACTGTATTTATCTTTGGAATGTAAACTTGACCTTAACAAACCAAATTTGAGGGCTGGTGACCAAAGCAAACACACAAATCAAGATCAACTCAAGAAAGGTTGCAACATTTAATACTTCAATTAATACTCAAAATATTGATAGAAGCTTTTGGTTAAGATATAAATGTATGTTCTTTAAAGTATACGAGTAGGAACACTAGACAAGCGTTGCCAAAAGTCACATTCTGTCAATCTAACAGTTCAATGGATACATGATACAATTGCTTCTCCTCAGAGAGGAAACGAAAATATTTAAGAGACAAAAGGGAACATAACAATGAGAACTATATATCCTCCTTGGACCTAATTAGAAAAATAACATGACTTTTGTAAGGGAAACCTCCTTGGCAGGTGGCAAAGAAGACTGGGAGCTATGCGTCCTCCTTCTGGGTACTTAATGTTATCTTCTTATAAAATTCTTTTTTACAGACATCAACCAAGCAGTAGCAAAATAATCAACTTAGCAAATCAAATTTATGTTGATCGGGTTATCAAAGAGGGAAATAGCTAATCCGAATGGTTCCATATCCTCTTTAGACGACAATTTTACAATTAGTTTCTACTCACCAGTCCCCACTAAAGGGTTAAAAACAGACACATACCCTTGCTGAAAGATGATCAGTGGGATTGAGTGGAAAACGAGGAAATAATTTCTTGAGGAGTGCGGAAGAGATGGTAACATCAGCCACATCAGGTCCACCTTGAGAACTTGGATATTCTGATTTCTTGTCACTCCCATGAGTAATAGACCTAACTATAAGATCTATGCTATGCAGAATGGATATCATACAAGCAAAAGACTTCCCTTCAAGACTTTCCATCGAATGAATCAATGGAATAAACTCCAGAAAAATATTCATTAATGGTGGAACTAGATCCTTCAAACTCTTCACGATATTAGAAAAACCTACACAAACAGATAAAGCATAAAATGGGACAGTCAAACAATCAGTGAGAACATAAAAAGCTTGACAAAGTTTTTAGAATTATGCAAACTCAATCAACGACATTCACTTAGTTATGTGCTTTAAAAATTGCAGTTTTAAGTTATCATACCATTTGAGTTCATAGACATTTCATCATCATAGGCAAACAATACCCTTCGGCCAGTATCATCCTATTAAAAATAGAAAATATTAGAAAAAATTGGTGAGCAAAAAAGATAGAATAAAATTAGCATTAACCGCAGTGAGACCAGGACCGAAGAGCAAAAAGTTTAGATCATAAATTATAACTCATAAATATGTACTTATCCAGGTAGTAACGGGTTAGAATCTGTGCAAATTATAAAATACATAATGTATTCTGAGAAAAAGCTATGGGTTCCAGATGCACATAAATCGTCAAATTTAAGCACAACACTGAGTATAAATGGAATGAAAAAAAAAATTGCTAAAATAAAAATGTAGAGTGGTTTATACATAAAAATACCAAAGATTAAATTAAAAAAAAAATGAACAGAGCATCTATACTTGTACTTTTTATACATATAATGAAGCCTTAACAGCTAAATGGAAATAAAATACCTTATTCGGCAAATCAGTTTGTGCTTTATTCCATGGAAGGAGTGACAAGCAGCGCACCAACCCAGAAAGAGCTTCCTTTAGTTTTCCTTTATCTTGTAAATAGTATTGGTTCCTCCTTAGAATATCCTCATAATTCAGAAAAATCTGTTGACCACACAACCAGCAAAGTGAATTTTAAGCATCAAATACAAAAATACAACAATTACAATTAGAGTGGATATAGAACTCAATTTCAGAAACAATTAAAGAATAGAAGTATACAGACAAAGAATAGAATAAAATGGTGGGCTGGGAAATATATAATACAATGATGGCACAGAAACCCATCATGAAAAAAATGGGAGATAGAAATGTCATAGATCTGTGTTTTGTCAATACAACTAAGAAAAAATATTGCCACAGCAATTTGTGAACTACATTTCCTAAATTCCTCGGACAAGTGTTCAATCAATAATATTGTTAAGAAACGAATTTTAAGCTTAACTCAAACCTACCAAACCAGCTTGTTATGTGAGGTTTGCACCCACTAATTGGCCTTAGTTATAGCCGATGTGAGACTTCCAACAAACATTATATCATCATAAAATTTCAGAATACAAAAAAATATTTAATGTACAGAAATTTCCCCTCAGTAAGTTTCAACCTATTGTCATATCTGGATCAAAGTTCTACAACATCCAGATATATTGAAACATTCACTCATGTTTCTCTTACTATTGTTGAGCAACATTTCAGACAGAAAATAGCATAAAATAAAAAAATCATTGGCATTAAACTGTATGACCAAAGTTTTGACATTCGGTCAAATATAAGCTCCATTGCAGAGGTGGATGTAAAATCCAATTACAAGAGCATCAGAAAGTTTAAGGAGCTCAGAACTGTCACTAATGCAAGAGAAAAATCCCCTTCAACCCCACTCCATTTCCCCACCCCTATAATCACCATAAACCAAAGAGCTGAATTTTAAAAAGAAATCAATTTCAAGGAGCAATCCTAACATACAGATAAAGAAATTTAGAATATGGTAAATAATATCACCTTTTCTGCATACAAGGGTGAAAAGGAAGGAGGATAGAACTCGAGAATGAGATCAAGAAAATCAAATGCCATCATCCGAACATCAACCGAAAAATGAGTCATTGCATTAAAAATGTAAGGCATCAATAAAGAAACGACCAGCTCTTGATTGTCCTACAAAATATAGGGAGAATAAAGCAAATGAAGTCTCTAAAGAATCAACTTTAATGTAATGATGTAGTAATATAAAGATTACTGGATACAGGAAAAACAAAGTATATCCTCATAATCAGAATTGAGGAACAGTAAGGATAACAATCAGCTCCAAAGTATTACAGCCAGTCATCTTGATGCACGATAATATAGATTAATAACCAGAGGCAATATAGCATAAATCATGAGAAAGAAGCAGCATCATTTACTTTTTCATAACTGATAAAAAGATAGAAAAATTCATCCAAGTGGTAATGGCATATGAGTCTATCATCCTAATGGGTTAGAAAAGTGATTCAAGCAAATAAAATGGAAATACCTCTTTACAGCAAGGTAAAATCACAATTTTGAAGAGATCATACAATGATTTCCGAACCACTTTATCATCATCACCAATGCGCTCGCGAAGTTTTTCTACCGTGACATACCTGTGCAACTTCTGTTCAGCTGGATGTCTGGTGAATAAATCCTTAATACCCATCAATGCTTCTGTAGTTTAGAATGTGAAAAAGAGAACATTAACATGATGATGACCAAATTTAAATGAATATTCAAATACTTAATTTTCATACAATCAAGATATGCCCTTAGAAGACTAACTATTATAGATCCAAACAATATAATTAATGGCTGCTTAATTATTTTTGACAGGTTTGGAAAATAATTACAAATATTGGCAGCGTTCATGATTTGTTTGATAGAGAACTAACGATGCCGATATACACATTGAAAGGCAATCACATAATTACAATATAATAAAATAAAAATATACCTCTACGAACTTTTGGATTGTGATGAGATGTTTGCTGGAGAAGTTCTTTTAAAGTCAAACCCTTCTTGTTTACAGCCAAACCAACCTTCTCTGCTGCCACACTCTGTTCCGGCAGAACAATTGCTGTTGGAGATATGTTGGTTAACTTATTTCATGACATTAAAGTCTTTCATAAATAAAAGTTATAAAACAATTAAAAAGAAATTCCAAACCATGCATCTAGTTTTANATATATATATATATATATATATATATGGTGCAGATTGTAACTATGCTCACTGCATAAGTGTAACTATCTATACAGTGGATTATAGACAATCACAAAAATACTGAACACCTTTACTAAACACAATTTTGATTCATCCAATGGAAAAGATAAGTTATACTAATGGACAGCAACCTCCATAATAAACAGTCAATAGTTTTTCTTGTTCATCAGGGTAGAACCTACCTGTAAACAAATAACTTGCTCTATGACGTTATCAATATTTTTCTTGTATAGAGACATAATCCGTCGTGTTTGAGGATCCCCGTGCAACAAGGAAAGAGCAGAAGTGACAGCATTCACCTTATTCAAGCAGTTCCTTACATCTTGACTACATTTGTCAGATTTTAATAAAACGCTACTATCATATATAACCGATCCCAATTTCTTCAACACAAGATTCATAAGTTCATGGCACCGGTCCAACATGAAAAAACAAGGTACAGTATAATAACACCGGAAGCTGAATGGAAAGGAAGGTGTTCTTTGTCCATCATCTTCTGGAACGCACTGTGGTAAAGTGAAATTTAGAATCAATGAAAGTACTAAAATCAATTCATATCAGAAATAAAGATCCATTTCTTCAGAAATAAAATAAAAGAAAACTCATAAATTACAGAAATAGTGATACTTTAGACAGTATTCCCCCATGGCCTTTATTATAATAATTGCCTGTACACACTTAAGTTCTGCATTTTCTTTTGGAAGTTGTCAAATTTTATTTTATATGTAAGATACTATAACAATCAATCATAAAATTTTAAAAACAATGGACATTTCTACTTTCAAAACAAAAATTAAGGATAGAGAAAAAACAGTTAGCTAATTCTGATACAAAGCATCATCTGGTGTATCCAAAAGAATAAGTAGATAAATAGGCAACAACAAAGTACAAATTTATATCATTTGTTAGTCAGCTTTTGGAAGCATACTTACCTGCACAACATCTATCAGATATTCCGAAAGATGATGGCCTAGAGTGGCAATGCTTTGTTCAGAAAGTAGTGTGGGCTTCGAATCAACTGAAACAACCATTCTCAGGAGAGAGCATCTATTATCCAAAGAAGGCTTTTGTGACTGTGGTACAAACACGTATGAGAAATCATTCTTATATGAAAATTATAAATGAGCTAAGAACAAAGCACAAGAAAAGTAAATAGAAAAAATTGCAATGCAAAAGAAAATGTGTCAGCTTACTATCTGATCAATAATCAATCTCTCTATCAACCGTAGAACAATAGCTTTGTCACCCATCTGTTGAATGCCTGAGTAAATCTTAGCTGTCATTGACTTTAAAGTTTGGCAAAGTGGGTCACCCTTAAAACCAGAGGAACCAAATTCTGCAAAATTAAAAGTAATAAAATTTCTCAATCTATGGTGAATGAAGATTGCCAAAAGTAGGTTTACAAAGATTAAAAAAAAAATTTCAATCACAAAAGATTACTCAAGCTGCGAACATGTTATGCATACATAGCAATGACAAATATTTTTTCAATCAAGTAACTTTGCTAGCTAGAGAATGGGAAGAATGCCATACAAATACTGTTATTTACAAGTTACCAAGAAGCAAGATAAAGATGGCAGGAATGCAAAATTGGATGAGTACAGATAGCAATGTAATAGTAACCCATTACTGGTGATGGGTAATCAATTACTGGGCTTGCATTTAAGGAGTTCACAAATAAAGAACAGTGGTAAGAGTGGGATGGAATTGGAAGGAGAGGAAGACAAGAGAACAATAGTATAAACAGAATGGATTGCAGGCAGAAGGAATTGGAGAGGGAGTGAGGATCATGCTTGGGGGAGAGAGAATGATTATGTCAGGGAAGGTAATAGAATGAAAGTTATAACGATTCTTAAGGTAAAATAACTGGCTTAGCTGACTGAAGGAGTTCTTCCCCAGGAAAGGGATTATTCTTATTTCAGTTTCTACATTTACATTTAGTAAGGAGATCTGCCCCAGCTATGGTCGTCTATTTTCCCCTAATTCTTTATTGTAAGAGAAGCTTCCCCTCTGATTAATCAAATTACAGTATTAATAATACTAAACAGTTTTCCTATTCTATTTTTGGGTCATATCACATGAGATATGTTGTTTTGCATTACCAATTTCAACCCCTGCCAGTTCTTTCTGATCCCAACTACTGAGCATTATGGACAAAAGCATTTAATTAGAAAAGTGAAACAAGAAATGGATAACTGGAGATGAAACAAAAGCATTTAGTCCAAATAAATCTTCGTAAGCTACCAGGAGAAACTTTGAAACGTGCGACCAAGGTGATGAAAAAACTCAAGTAATCCGCAATTTCTATACACCCCCGCTCATAGGCTAACTGGAGAACGTCTATGATCCAAAATAAGACATAGGAGTCTAGATCATCACCTGCAATAGTACAAAAAAAAATTAATGTTAAGAAGCTTTAACCTAGAAAATTTTACAGCCTTTATATCATTAGTATATAAATCCTACTTCTACTTAAAAGACAATGGCTACACTGAACATTAAAAACGTTAGTACAGAAAGTGAGGGAAAAATGCTGTACAAAAAGTATACTCCATTGTTTTAAGTTGTCAAAACACTTATTTCACAATAACATCACAGTTTTAGAATTATCACTTCAACGACTACTTTGCCGGGAAAAGTCCAAACTTTAAGAGCAATCTTACACGATTTTAACAAGATAACCATATTTTTATCATAGGCAATAAAATAAATAGAAAATGAAGGCAGTCAAGTCAGAAAAATAACTTATTTTTTAAGAAACAACAATTACATGGTTTATAGTTAATTTTCACAAAAATAAATATTACTTGAATCTGAGGAATACATTCGAGATGTTTCCAAAAGAAATCCTACAAAAAATCAGAGCTGTGGGACTTCTGTGCTATTTCTATCACATTTATTAAAACAAATTATTACAAAATGGAAGAAAAAGGTTGCAACCTTATTCTCCTCAAACAAATTTAAATGATAAACCTTTCAATACCTTAAATTAATCAAATTACTCAACATTAGGTATGCAAATGATAGTAGGTAAAATGTTAAGTGAGGAGGTATGAAGACAAAATTACTAAAAAAGCAAATCATGTCAGTGAAATTTTAAATGAGCCTGAAGCTTACTTAGGCAACAATAGACTAATGACTTTAAAATAGGCAGGTCCAAATGAGAGAAATAGTAAATGGAACATAAAGCGAGAACTTGAGATTCTCTAGGAAGCCTGAGAAAAGGACCAAAACATATCGGTCCTGCAACGTGAAAAAAACAAAACAGTTAGAATCCAAAAAGTAACTCACAGGTGTTGTATTATTAATACGATGTCAACATCATGTTCATGTTTACCTCCCTCTTGATATGTACAGTAAAAATCTTGCAATGACTGCTGCATGTTGTTATACATGCAAACAAGTGCTGGATTCCAAGCACGCTGTCCAATTCGATGTAGAAGACGAATCAAAGCCTATGATGAACATAAAATGCTTTAGGTAAAGGGACAAATTAAATTGCAGACTTAAGATCAATGCAAAGGCAGATTAATCTCTCAAAATGCAGTCAACCATGAATTTCAAATAAAGTCCTCCTTATCAAATAAAAATAATAACTACCTGGGAGCAGGCTGGGTGATTATCTCCAAGCTGGATAAGCAACCGAGGGAGATCTCCAGTCCATGCACGTAAAGCCTCTTGAAGAACTATATACTGTGGATTGCTTGTCCCTGTGGAATGCATGCCTTCCATCTATATTTGGACCAAAGACAAAAAACACACACACTAATCTCGAAGGAAGGAAATAAATTGTTTTCGTGAGATTATCCAAAAATCAAGAATTTCATTTCAATAGTGTTCTCAGAAGGAGATGAATCCAAACTCACGTAAGTTAACACATCTTCAATGGCAGAAACACAGGCTTTCAGCAAAGAACCTGGCTTGCATTCCCTAAATGTCAGGGTAAAAGCCTGCAAGTGTCACAAATCTTGCAACATTAAAACCTCTATATGAAAGAAAAAACATCATAAATAAAACATGGCACAAGATGACACAACCAAAAAATAAACTCTTTCAATTTCTATTCTAGTTTCAGTAGTTAGTATATTTTCCCTTACAATAACAAAAAATAAAGTCATACTAGTTTATTGTTTTCAAGAATTAGCAAGGCAACTGATGATAAAATCTTGCTTTCACCATGTTTTTCGCAATCTCTAGAATCAGACAGAGAACAATTACAAACAGAATTTTGTAATTATTGTGGGAAACCAAATGCCAGAAAATATTACAAGGTCAATATTCAAAATTAATGGCATCCATGTTCTAACAAAAATGAACTAGAATTCATTCAACAAGTCAGACCTGAAGAAGGCGTGATGTCCAATCGCCTACCCCACGTGAAACAATTTTTGGAATAAATGGAAGGAGTAGAACTAAATGCTCTTCTTCCCAGACAGCCTTAGCAGACTGCGTAGTCCAGAAGAACTGTATAATAAAATTCCAGCCCAATTCAGCTATAGAATGACCACAATTTTCAACTTAATAAAACTTCAAAAGGATAATGTTAGCATATCTATCAAACCTTCCCAAGCAGAGCATTTTCAAAAAATTCAAGAAATCTCTCCAACAAATGTGGAGGAAGACACATCCATTCATTTAATTCAAAAAATATTTTGGTAATGACCATGTTCAAGTCAAGCAACCTACCACAGTCCTGCAATGAAAAAAAGAAAAAAATTAGTTTTTATGAAATTAGAGGAATATCACAATCCTGCTGCTCCCTACTCCACCTCACAAATGGAACCAGATCACAATAACACAACAGAAAAAGGGTAATCAATCACAGGACATTGACAGGGGTAAACTGTATTTATCTTTGGAATGTAAACTTGACCTTAACAAACCAAATTTGAGGGCTGGTGACCAAAGCAAACACACAAATCAAGATCAACTCAAGAAAGGTTGCAACATTTAATACTTCAATTAATACTCAAAATATTGATAGAAGCTTTTGGTTAAGATATAAATGTATGTTCTTTAAAGTATACGAGTAGGAACACTAGACAAGCGTTGCCAAAAGTCACATTCTGTCAATCTAACAGTTCAATGGATACATGATACAATTGCTTCTCCTCAGAGAGGAAACGAAAATATTTAAGAGACAAAAGGGAACATAACAATGAGAACTATATATCCTCCTTGGACCTAATTAGAAAAATAACATGACTTTTGTAAGGGAAACCTCCTTGGCAGGTGGCAAAGAAGACTGGGAGCTATGCGTCCTCCTTCTGGGTACTTAATGTTATCTTCTTATAAAATTCTTTTTTACAGACATCAACCAAGCAGTAGCAAAATAATCAACTTAGCAAATCAAATTTATGTTGATCGGGTTATCAAAGAGGGAAATAGCTAATCCGAATGGTTCCATATCCTCTTTAGACGACAATTTTACAATTAGTTTCTACTCACCAGTCCCCACTAAAGGGTTAAAAACAGACACATACCCTTGCTGAAAGATGATCAGTGGGATTGAGTGGAAAACGAGGAAATAATTTCTTGAGGAGTGCGGAAGAGATGGTAACATCAGCCACATCAGGTCCACCTTGAGAACTTGGATATTCTGATTTCTTGTCACTCCCATGAGTAATAGACCTAACTATAAGATCTATGCTATGCAGAATGGATATCATACAAGCAAAAGACTTCCCTTCAAGACTTTCCATCGAATGAATCAATGGAATAAACTCCAGAAAAATATTCATTAATGGTGGAACTAGATCCTTCAAACTCTTCACGATATTAGAAAAACCTACACAAACAGATAAAGCATAAAATGGGACAGTCAAACAATCAGTGAGAACATAAAAAGCTTGACAAAGTTTTTAGAATTATGCAAACTCAATCAACGACATTCACTTAGTTATGTGCTTTAAAAATTGCAGTTTTAAGTTATCATACCATTTGAGTTCATAGACATTTCATCATCATAGGCAAACAATACCCTTCGGCCAGTATCATCCTATTAAAAATAGAAAATATTAGAAAAAATTGGTGAGCAAAAAAGATAGAATAAAATTAGCATTAACCGCAGTGAGACCAGGACCGAAGAGCAAAAAGTTTAGATCATAAATTATAACTCATAAATATGTACTTATCCAGGTAGTAACGGGTTAGAATCTGTGCAAATTATAAAATACATAATGTATTCTGAGAAAAAGCTATGGGTTCCAGATGCACATAAATCGTCAAATTTAATCACAACACTGAGTATAAATGGAATGAAAAAAAAAATTGCTAAAATAAAAATGTAGAGTGGTTTATACATAAAAATACCAAAGATTAAATTAAAAAAAAAATGAACAGAGCATCTATACTTGTACTTTTTATACATATAATGAAGCCTTAACAGCTAAATGGAAATAAAATACCTTATTCGGCAAATCAGTTTGTGCTTTATTCCATGGAAGGAGTGACAAGCAGCGCACCAACCCAGAAAGAGCTTCCTTTAGTTTTCCTTTATCTTGTAAATAGTATTGGTTCCTCCTTAGAATATCCTCATAATTCAGAAAAATCTGTTGACCACACAACCAGCAAAGTGAATTTTAAGCATCAAATACAAAAATACAACAATTACAATTAGAGTGGATATAGAACTCAATTTCAGAAACAATTAAAGAATAGAAGTATACAGACAAAGAATAGAATAAAATGGTGGGCTGGGAAATATATAATACAATGATGGCACAGAAACCCATCATGAAAAAAATGGGAGATAGAAATGTCATAGATCTGTGTTTTGTCAATACAACTAAGAAAAAATATTGCCACAGCAATTTGTGAACTACATTTCCTAAATTCCTCGGACAAGTGTTCAATCAATAATATTGTTAAGAAACGAATTTTAAGCTTAACTCAAACCTACCAAACCAGCTTGTTATGTGAGGTTTGCACCCACTAATTGGCCTTAGTTATAGCCGATGTGAGACTTCCAACAAACATTATATCATCATAAAATTTCAGAATACAAAAAAATATTTAATGTACAGAAATTTCCCCTCAGTAAGTTTCAACCTATTGTCATATCTGGATCAAAGTTCTACAACATCCAGATATATTGAAACATTCACTCATGTTTCTCTTACTATTGTTGAGCAACATTTCAGACAGAAAATAGCATAAAATAAAAAAATCATTGGCATTAAACTGTATGACCAAAGTTTTGACATTCGGTCAAATATAAGCTCCATTGCAGAGGTGGATGTAAAATCCAATTACAAGAGCATCAGAAAGTTTAAGGAGCTCAGAACTGTCACTAATGCAAGAGAAAAATCCCCTTCAACCCCACTCCATTTCCCCACCCCTATAATCACCATAAACCAAAGAGCTGAATTTTAAAAAGAAATCAATTTCAAGGAGCAATCCTAACATACAGATAAAGAAATTTAGAATATGGTAAATAATATCACCTTTTCTGCATACAAGGGTGAAAAGGAAGGAGGATAGAACTCGAGAATGAGATCAAGAAAATCAAATGCCATCATCCGAACATCAACCGAAAAATGAGTCATTGCATTAAAAATGTAAGGCATCAATAAAGAATCGACCAGCTCTTGATTGTCCTACAAAATATAGGGAGAATAAAGCAAATGAAGTCTCTAAAGAATCAACTTTAATGTAATGATGTAGTAATATAAAGATTACTGGATACAGGAAAAACAAAGTATATCCTCATCATAATCAGAATTGAGGAACAGTAAGGATAACAATCAGCTCTAAAGTATTACAGCCAGTCATCTTGATGCACGATAATATAGATTAATAACCAGAGGCAATATAGCATAAATCATGAGAAAGAAGCAGCATCATTTACTTTTTCATAACTGATAAAAAGATAGAAAAATTCATCCAAGTGGTAATGGCATATGAGTCTATCATCCTAATGGGTTAGAAAAGTGATTCAAGCAAATAAAATGGAAATACCTCTTTACAGCAAGGTAAAATCACAATTTTGAAGAGATCATACAATGATTTCCGAACCACTTTATCATCATCACCAATGCGCTCGCGAAGTTTTTCTACCGTGACATACCTGTGCAACTTCTGTTCAGCTGGATGTCTGGTGAATAAATCCTTAATACCCATCAATGCTTCTGTAGTTTAGAATGTGAAAAAGAGAACATTAACATGATGATGACCAAATTTAAATGAATATTCAAATACTTAATTTTCATACAATCAAGATATGCCCTTAGAAGACTAACTATTATAGATCCAAACAATATAATTAATGGCTGCTTAATTATTTTTGACAGGTTTGGAAAATAATTACAAATATTGGCAGCGTTCATGATTTGTTTGATAGAGAACTAACGATGCCGATATACACATTGAAAGGCAATCACATAATTACAATATAATAAAATAAAAATATACCTCTACGAACTTTTGGATTGTGATGAGATGTTTGCTGGAGAAGTTCTTTTAAAGTCAAACCCTTCTTGTTTACAGCCAAACCAACCTTCTCTGCTGCCACACTCTGTTCCGGCAGAACAATTGCTGTTGGAGATATGTTGGTTAACTTATTTCATGACATTAAAGTCTTTCATAAATAAAAGTTATAAAACAATTAAAAAGAAATTCCAAACCATGCATCTAGTTTTAATTTAGATTGGTTTTGGTTTTCAAACCAAACTATTGATAAATAAACATGTCATGAACAGAACCTATTTTAATTTTGGAGGAAGGTACCTTTAGATTTAATCTCAGTATTTGTTGTATTCTTAGGTGGTGGCAGTTTCCTCCCAATCTTTCGCCTTATTTTCTGAAAATTTTGAAAAGTGATATGTTAAAAATGTTTCAACAAGAGTCAGAGTTACAGAATATAATAAAGTTGTGTCAGGGCCCTAGAGGAAACCTTAAAGTCAATGCCATGCTGTTTCTTCGAGTTGGCTTTAGAACGAGTCATCTTGCCCTAATAATGAGACTAAATTAGAAAAAACAATAGGTGAGTTAGATTCTATTGTCATTCACTTTAATTCAAAGAAAAGACAAGAGATATGAAAAAAAGCATGTAATTTGGCCTGGGTGGTTGAGAGTGGATGTGAGATGAGATAGTGATTTTTAATATATTCACAATGTTGTGCCTCTGCTCCTTGTTGGAGGACATTGGCAAGAGTGAAATATAGCCCAATCAAGTTTTATGGATTTGGGAAAATATCGGAGACCTGAAATTCCGTTGTGAGAAATATATTGAAACCATAGCGATTTATGGCAATAAAATCGCCACCGCCATGTTGTGGCAACAAGGCATGCCTCCACCACCGATTTCCACCGAAGTTAAGAATGAGAATGGAATGTTACCAGAAGATAGGGTATTCTTCTATGGTGACGCTGGTAAATTGACGAGAACTGCAAAGGCTCCGTGGGTGATTTTGTAGCTATTTTGCGAGTTTGAAATAGGGAGAAACCAAGAAAGAGGACGTCGTTGAGTTTAGGGCACCGTCGCGTTTCGTTTGCTGCCGTTCCTTGTCGCGCTTTGATGACTCGCTTTCACGCTCGCCGTTCGCCTGGTTCGCGCTCACCGTTGTGCTCACCGTCGTGCTCGCCGTCGTCTGCTTGCCTTCCTTTGAGCTTTGCCGTGTGGAGTGAAGCTTTTTTATTTCAACGTTACAACCCTAAAGAATATATTTTTAAAACAATCAACTTATTTTGAAAATTTTATTTTTGGTCTGCGCTGTATTTTAGAGTTTAATTTTTGTGATCTGTAAAATAATAGAATTTAATGAGTATGTTTTGATACAGTAATATTTTAATAAGAATTAATTAAAAATAACTTTTAACCTAATAGTTATTAAATTTAACATATTTATCTATTATATATAGTTTATAGTTGAATGATGAGATGTTTTCACTAATTTTTCAAACTTTAAATTGCCAACAAATAAAACTTATTTTTGATATCATCGTAATTGTTTGCAAAATTAAAAATTGTTATAGAATCATATTTTTAATTAAATAACAATTTTAAAACTTTTGTATTTTCGATGCATGCACATGCACTATCTAGTCTATATTTTATAAGTAAAATTTATATATTTATCATCATTTATAAATCTTACATTGTTATTATAGATTGCAAGAAATTATGTATATATATAATATATGACTTGTTTAATTTTAAAAGTTAAGGGTACCATATTGATTAAAAATAATTTTAATATTAAATATAAATATAAATTAAGTGTATTTTATTAATTATAACATTTTACTAAGTACTTTTGACTTCAAAACATCTTCTACATTTATTTTTATTTATTACAAAATTAATCATGGACTTCAAAACATCTTCATAAGAGAACCTGATCACCTTCTTCATGTCCCTCATAGTTTATAGTTTATGTTAATCCTCTAATTAATTTGTTTTCTCCTATCGACCGAAAGTAATATGTGCTCGGAGTAAGAAAAAAAATAAATAAATAACATTCTTTCTCTTTCTTTCTGAGTATTAAAAAAACATGGAATGTAAAATATAAAATGTGAAAAGTATTGTAAAATAAATATAAGGTTGTTGTAAATTATTTGGTACAACATTATAATATATAAACATATATACAATTATATTCTTAATATTACACGTATGTTTTATTATAAAATAATAATAATTAAATTAATTATGTTAGACAAACATAAAATAAATATGTATAAGTTTTTCTTTAAGTTTACATTTTCGTTTTATTAAAACTCAAGTATAATCTCTATTAGTATCAAGCTTATATGATTCAGAATCCTTGACGGACTGAGCTTGAAGGGCGTACATGGTTGTTAATTTTAATTAATTTCATAATATTATAAATATCGAGTTTAAAAGTTGAAATTTGTTATCATTCTAGCTTTTATGATTTATAACTTTTGAAATTGTATAAGGTTAATATATCTAAGACAATGATAAAAAAAACACTTACTATATGTTTAAACATTTTTTTAACTGCATCTGCAATAATAATTTATAAAGGGAACTTACTATAACAATATTTACAAATTAGGTAAAAAAAAACTAGTTTCCAAATTTTTTGTGCTAAATTTTAGCATGAATTATTGCGCCTTATGTAGTTCTCAATTGGATTATCTTTTAAGAAAATATATCGCGAATTGGTATTTTTATTTTTGAATACTTTGATTATGGATTGAATTTTTTTCGGTTTATTTTTTTATAACCTTTCATTACTCTAATCTTTCTTTGTTTTTTTTTATATATAGAAATTTCACTTTAGTTCATATTTTATTAATGATAAAATAAATTATGATCTCTTTCGAAGACCAACAACATCAAGTTATTATTTTTAAGCTAAGATTACTATGAACTATAATTTCTTCAATGTTTAACTTAATTATATATTTATATTCAAACTCGAGGTCAGATATTAACACTCGTATATAAATTGATTTGTCGAAGCAATAAGAACATTATAATATAATCTTTCAATCTTAATATAAGTTTTGAAAAAAATAAAATTCAAATAAAAAATTAACCACAAAAATGAATATATATTTAGAATACAACTTGAGGTAAAATTACTTCTAAAAATATTTTGTATTGGTCATGGTAGGGAAGATTTGCAGCTCTAAAAGCCATTTTTAGTTCTCTTATTTGTACATTCAAGAAAAGAAACCAACATAGTGTCAAATCAATTAGAAAATTTGTGTTATTTACTATAGTTTTTTTATACTAGGTTATAAGTAGAGAATATTTTATAAATTTAGTTGATGATTACTTTTTACCAAAATTACCTTTATCAGAATACCACACTTTAATTATTTTTTCTTATATATAAAAGGATTAAATATGTTTTTAGTCCCTTAAGTATCAGACGATTTTGTTTTTAGTCCCTACTTAGAACTTTTATGGTTTTTAGTCCTTATTGTTTTGAAACTCTGACTATTAGTTCTTAAAATTGGACGGTGTTAAGTTTTAGTGGATGTGGCAAACGACGATGCCACATGATCACTGATCTGCTCTGTTCACTCTCTGCCACGTTGGATGTTTAAGTGTTGAACTGAGATTAAGTCAAGAGCACTTCGTTATCTTTTATAAATGAGATTTGAAGAAGTTGGGTTCTTCTTCGTGGCTGCAGCTGGGAGCAAAGAACTTGGGTTCAGCATGTTGAACTAAGTGGACTCGATGGAGTGATTGATGTCGGGGTTCTTCCACTGCTAGAGAGTTCTGAGGCTGGTTTGGTTAAAGGGAACCTCAGTGGCTGCACAAATGTCACAGACAAAGTAGTTTCATCCTTGGCCAACCTTCATGGTTGGAATCTTGAGAACCTAAACCTTGATGGTTGTAGAAACATCAATGATGCTAGCTTGATGGCAATTGCTGAAAACTGTGCATTGCTATGCGATCTTGATGTCTCCAAGTGCTCAATCACAGATGCTGGGATAGCGGCCCTGGCACATGCCCAACAGATTAATCTGCAAATTCTCTCTTTGTCAGGTTGCGCTTTGGTCTCAGACAGGAGCTTGCCCGCCTTGAGAAAATTGGGCCGGACCCTTTTGGGA